TCAATACCACGACTGAGGTGAGACCCTTGAGCAAAACACCGAACCCCCAACTGCTTCCCGGGCGCCGCAGCAATATGGCTGCCCACTGCTCCGGGTTTTGTTCATGGTGTGTGTGTGTTCACTACTGTGTGTGTGCACTTGGATGGGTTAAATGCAGAGCACAAATTCCGAGTATGGGTCACCATACTTGGCCACACGTCACTTCACTTCACTTCATAGTTGTGCAACGTATTGTTTTCTATGAAGTATTGAGTAATGCAGCTCTTATCACTAATGTAAAAAAATTGATTATATTTACATTAATATTTAAATTAAAATGTAAGACAAAAAGCTAAACAAATTTGCCCTTTTAACACAGAGACTGTCTAAAGGTCCTAAGTCTACTTTTTTACTACTACGAGGTTTTACGTCCACTGAAAAGAGGACATATTTTTAACATGTGACTTCCAAGAACTCAGATGTATGACATAATGGCCTAATTCATGAAATATAAGCATAACCTCATTACATGAAGGTGATCATTTACGTAGCAATGGTTTTACAAATGATTTACACAGAAAACTGACCTGTTCGTACACTGTACGATAGATTTTTTAAGTTGTAAATAAAACAAAGATTATTGGAGTATGTTTCAGAAAGAAAAATTCAGTCTTTCTACTTCAAAATGTCATGCTTAATTCAATGTGTTACTTGCCATTTCCTTGTAATTAATTTACTTGCAATTTCTTAGTGAAAATAGTTTTTTGAAGTCTAAAGGTCTATAAGATCCAGACAGTATATACCAGTTACAGCTAGTTTGTTAGTCGGCAGGTAAGATAGAGGAAGAGCTCTTATGTAACACATTATTCATAGTGATCCTGTTACATTGCTTAACTGTGCTTTTGAGTCAGCGGGCTGTGGCAAATCTGTCTCTTTCATGAGCAAACCTATATTTGGTTAAAGCATTCGGTTTATAGATTTTACATGTGCTAATGAGCTCAGAAATGTGCAGATGGATGATGCCGGATGGCCCTCCATGAACAGCGTTTAAAAACTTTAAATTCAGCTTGTTTTACGAGAGAAAAGCAACTCATGCCATCTTCCCCTTGAGGTTAAGCAATAGTAGGAAGTGATGAAAGCCACCGAAGATGCGCAAATTTGTGCATTTTTTAGAGTTGATGTGTTTGGTAATGTTGTGTATGTTTTGACAGGCCTCTTGATACAATATGATAGATGGTATTTTAGAAATATATGTACTGCATGTGTATCTTTTTTAAGAGATCAGCAAATCATCCCCATAGC